GGACCAGGAAGTCATGAACAGGTGGCTCCAATGGACAGAGGACTTTTGATACCAGGCAGATCCCTGTCACAGTCCCTGTGCCCCACACACAGGGGCCTTCAGTTTCACCCCCAGATACCTCCAGGGTCTCCTTCATACACATTTTTTCCTCAAACACCCCAAGAATACTGTCCCTTCCACACACAATAGTCTCCTGCTTTCCCTTCAGACACCTGTTGGGTCACCAACCCTGGAAGAAGTACCTCAGAGGTACTATCTAGCCTCATTGCTGGCCACAGGCCACCTCCTGGGCATAAGAGGGACACAAAGGCCAGCAGGGACTGGATCCAGGAGTTTTTTGGGTCACAGCAATGCAGGTTGTAGACCTGGACAGCAGGTACAGGACATGTGAGGGAGGTGGGTCACAGCCTTGTGTCCCCAAGCCAAATGGGGAGTAACACTGGCCTTTTCCCCAGGGTGCAGCATGGGCACAGCATCCCTGAGCATGAGTGCCCAATGGGCCATGCACAGGCAGCAGGGACTGTCCTGTCGCTACACACTGCTCAGGCACCACACCAGCCCTCATACCCCTAGCCCTGCCCCAGCAGAGGTGCAGATCCTGACAGAAATGCAGATGCCTCTGGGGAGGGGTGCAGCAGCTGCCTTAGAACTGCAGGTACCAGAGGTGAAGATGGTGTCCATCTCACACTGTCAAGAGGGGATGCAATTACTAGGGCTGAAAGCTGGCCAGGACTCCAGGCTCACACCCTTAGTCAGATGACTTGGGGTCTTCACACCCACAGGGGTCAGGCCCGTAGGTACATGACTTCCAGCAGCACAGCACCCCTAGTGGTAGACAGGGGCTCTGAATACTGTGGAACAAGAGACCCAAGAAACCTGCTCCAGTGGTCAGCTGTATCTCAGTTTCCATGTCATGACTTGCAGGAGGTTTGGGTATTTCTGCTAGAGCAGGGGAATTGCCAACAATGCCATTGTGGACTCCAGTGTCAGTCGCTGTTGCTTGCCTGATCGAGTCAACCCTCCCAGCAATGGTGCCAGGCTCTCTCCCAACTCAGGCAGGTGTCAGCTCAGCCCCTTCTGGGGGTGTGAGCCAGCAGCTGCCTGCTGTCAGTTGGGACCCAGCTCAGCTGTTCCCACCGACACTGGGATGAGCCCCAGTACCTTTGGGGATGGCATGTCCATTGGGCAGTTGGATGTCCCCAGTGAAGCATCAGGATATGTGGGAAACAAGCAGGTGCAGGCACAGACTCTCATTGACACTCATGGTGGTGAAGGGCCCCTGGGACAGGTCCTTCTTATATGGGGGCAGGAGAAGTAGCAGCAGCAGCAGGGTGTGCTACTGAGCTTGGTACTGACCCAGGGGCACAGCTATCTGCAGTGGGCAGATCCAGGGGACAGCAAGAAGTGGTCTGCAGGAGGGCAGGCACCCCACAGACCCTAATGGTTTCTGCCACAGGCTGCCTCACCATTCCTCCAACACATCATCCTTCATCAGCTCCTGGATCTCCTCCTGGCATCACTGCTGGTACTCAGGGAAACACACCAGTTATGCAGGACCCAGGATAGGCTGCTGGCTGTGGTGTAATGGCCTGTGGAGAGGTGCACAGGCAGGGGGAGCACTGCCCTGGCCAGGGGCAGGGGGGGGGGAAAGGAGTTCTGGTTGCAGGGGCATGTGCTCTATTCGCCAAGCTGGTCTGGCAGCTCAAGCTCCAGACCCCTGCATGGGAGCTGGTAAGGAGAATTCCCTGTCCCAGCCCTGGGCTGAGAGGGTCCCACAGCCCCCAGGGGTGGGGAGGAAACTGCTCTTACCCACCCCACAGAGGGGCAATGATAGCCTCCACAGCTAGGGATCAAGCCTGGGTCCCTCTTCATGGGGCCATGAGATCTATGGGGTTCTCTTCCCTTCCCATGAAGCAGTGAGGTTTCTGCCAGCCCCTCCTGAGATACCTCCGCACACTCAAATGCAAAGGTGTTAACCTCTGCCATGATGTCCTCATCTGACAGCTCTTGACAGTCCTCATCCTGCAACAGAACACATGGGCTGGGGCAGGCAGCCTGGCTCCCCTGCTGGGCAGGGGACATTACATTTTAGGTGTGAGAGAGGGAGCAGGAACTGGCAGTGACAGTCCCCTTCATCTCTCCCAGGGGAGAGGCACTGCCCAGACCAAGGACACACCAGTTGTCCCAAGCCTAGCATGCAGACCCTGATCAACCCTACCCATGGGGAGGGAGCCTGGCACAGGATTAGTATCTTCCCAGAAAGTGCCAGGCTCATCGTCCAAATGCTGTCCATGCCCCTCTGTGCTGAGCAAGCCAGGGCAGCAGCACCAGATGGGACATGCCAGGGAACCCAGCTGGGGGTGGGAGCCCCAGTCCTGCTGTGACAGACACTCACAGTGACCTTTCATCCAGCAAACCACAGGCTGCAGGGACCAGTTCTACAGGGACAGGCCCTGCCCCACAGGGCCGGCTCTGGTGTGGTATCTTGGACAGCTTCAGGACATAGATGAAGTCCACAGTCTTGCCCCCCTTGGCCTGCAGCCAGGACTCCCCTGCCCACATGGCCTACAGCCAGGCAGCCCCATATCAGCCATGAAGTGGGGCACAGCATCACATGTCTGCCAGAAGCACTGCCTGCAAGTTGTGAGGTAATAGACAGTCAAGGTGGTACAGTGGGTAATACACATTTTTTTTTTTTTTTGTGGTTTTTTTCCCCCTGCACTGTTTAATTTCATCTTATATTTTACAAAGGAACATTTCAGCCATCTTGCAGGTATACAGGAGACCTCAGCCATGCTCTGCGGGGTTGCTGCAGTTCATCCACCAAGTTGAAATGCCTCACCACCAGGTTGCTGAGCTCCAGGATGGCTGCAATGTAGTCACTGGGCTTCCTGGAACACAACATCAGGACATGTGACCCACTGGCCAGGGCGGAGAACACATCCCAGCTGGATCAGGCCCTGAATGACAAGAGCAGTGGTGTTGAGGGGGCTTGAAGGATAGACATCAAAGACAGTCACTGCACACCCTCACAGCCAGAGCCCAGTTACAGAGTTCCCAGTTGGGCTTGCAGGGAGGGATGATGCTCTTGTGAATCTGGGGTGAGGACCTCCCAGGGGCAACCATCTCCTGCTCACCATGTGCTTTGTGGGGTCTGGGAAAGGGCTCGTAGCAGGGCAGGAAAATGGGAACAGACTGGGGGCAGAAGGATTGTCAGGGCAACTGTAGAGAGCACTGGGCCAAGAATGGGCACATCTGAGCAATGTAGCAAAGGAAGGGATTGCTCAGGTGACTGGCCTGGCTCAGGCAGGAATGGTCCTGCAGCCTGTGCTCTAGGCTGGTGCTGCCTGCTTCTGAGTGACACCAAGAGGGGTGTCTTGCATCCCAGCTCCTCCTCCCCCTGCTTCACAGAGCCACCCCAGGGCTGCAGGGAATCTGTGGGCATGGAGTTTGTTCACTCCTGGCATTTGGTGCTGTGGCTGAAGACACATTTCTGCAAGCTGTCCAGGGTCATGAGGCTCATCTGCTCCAATATGTCCAGGGAGGGGTAGCCTGACATGTCAGGTGCCACCACTTGGCCTGGGGGAGAACAGTAACCTTGAATGCAGTGCCCGGCAGCCACATTCAGGGACATTCTGCACACCTGGCCCAGGGCCTGTGGGTTGGAGCATCTGAGAGACTGTCACAGATGGGGTGGAGAGGTCCCAGGTGTGGGGCTATACTGTGCTGTCTAAGGAGGCAGATGCAGTGCAGAGATAGTAGGCAGGGGATCAGCATTCACCCCAGTTGAGAGGCACAGAGAGGGCAGTGCAGGTGGGCAGCAGGGCAGGGTGCTGGTGAAACAATGGTGCAGCAGGTCCAAATGTACCACTCAGGTGCATGACGTTGGTGCTCTTCATGAAGATCTTTATGTAGGGCTTCAGGATGTCAAAGTGAAATGCCGGTGTCAGCATACGCCGGTGCCGTCCCCACCTCTGCCCATTGCTCAGCAGCAGACACTCCCCTGCAATGATAGGGCTCAGCACTCAACTCACAGCCCAGATAAATGCCTCCCAGACCCTGGCAGTGTGGGCAGGACACATCTTTGTCTGTCACCAAGGAGCTGCAAGATCCAGTGCTGCTCTAATGTCCCTGGGCAGTGTTTCCCAGTGTGCTCCTTTCAGGGGCCAGGGGCCAGGCACACTGCAGGCACTCCAAGCAGCACATGGGCTGCACACTCCCACACCACTGCCAGCTCTGCCCTGCTTTTCCCCTCAGACACCTGGAGGGTGCCCCCATTCCACACATAGCAGAGCACCCTTTTCACCTCAGGCACCCGCAGGTCCTCACCTCCTCCACAATAAACCCCCTGACATACCAAGGGCTCCCATGGCCATACACTGTAAAGCCAAGTCTCTTAGCCACAGTGTCTTCATCCCTCACCCTGAAGGTCCCTTTCTTTTCCACACAAGAGGAGGCACCTCAGGCACCTCTGGGTCCTAAGGACTTCCCTGACATGCAGGCTACCCTTGTCCTCATACTCACTCCCACACACAAGTCCTTACCCCCACCCAGCAGATGGGCACCACAACCCCCCACAGGTCTTGCCCCCTGGAGTAACCACAAAGTTCCCAGCCCCTATAGAGCCTCGTTAGGCAGCATGTATCCCTTGTGAATATTCATGAGTGGCTGGCAGCATCTGTTGGCACCAGTTACACTAATTAGCCCCTGCTTCCTCTTGACTGATTGGGTTCTCCCTCACCTTTGCCCCCTGGCTGGGGGAATTCAGCTATCATCTCCTCCCCTTTTCTAGTTCCTGGAAGCAACAGCAGCCAGGTTCCCAAGTCCTGAATGAGGTCTTGATCCTGAAGCAGGCTGTATCCAGGCTGGACCAGGGATTCTGGTGCAGGACTGGGGCCTTTGTTAGGGTAATAATACTGTAGTGCACCTGATTCCACAGTTGCAGTAAGGTAGAAGTGGTGTTGTACTGTGATGATCCAGGAAATATGTGAGAAGCAAGGCCTGTTTGCTAATATCTTTTATTGAACCACTTCTAGCACGTTAGACAAGCTTTGGGCACAAAGCGCATGCCTCAGGTCTGGGAAAGAAGCAGGAAGATGTTTCCTGATCCACAGCCCTACCCCACTGAGAATGGGTGGCTGGCTTCGGCTGTCATGTCTCATGGAGGCTCCTTCCCTGCAGTCCAACCTCCAGCCTTACTGAAGCCCATCCCCACCAGTTCCCTTTTGCTAACTCCTCGTAGCTGCATTATACTGCCAGGACAGACTAGTACACTATACAAACTTCCCAAATGTCCACTTGAAGTAATTTCCCTCCACACAAGCTCCAAAGGTGGCCTTCCAAATACAAGTCTCACATGCCTGATTCTGAGCAATCCATCTTGTGACTCCCCACAACCCCTCACTTGTTTTCTTTACAATTTCATTTGCTGAAGACTTCACAGCACTTTTGGGTTGGGTCATCCCAAAACAACCATCTTAACTGCTCGAGAACCCACTCCCTGTTCTGTGCAAAGGTTTCAGCCTATACAACTCCCATTCCTTCCTATGGGTTATTTGGAGGGATTTCCCCAAGTGCCCTGTCCAACCCAACCTGATCATAATAGGTAATGACATACAGGTAATAGAGTTGCCCAGGGTTCATCAGCAGGGCTCAATGATACATAATCTATATTATGTTAGCCAAATCAGGAATTTTGGCTTTACCTTGGCCTGAAAAGATGTTTTGTATGTCTCTAGATTATAACAAATTGCTTTTACCAAGTGATTTATCTAGTTGTTCTTGCTTAGATCCAGGAATACAGGAAACTCTTGGTATTCGCGGGTTCAGCATTCAGTTTCAGATATTCATGAATGCCAAACCTGCACCTTAAATACACTTTAAACACTTACTGAAGCTCCTCGGGAGCTCCATGCTTGCTGCCGCTGCACTCCCGCCGTCACTGCTGGAGCCATGCCCCCTCCCCCCTAGCCGCCAGGGGCACTGCGTTCATGAATTCAGACTGCATTCATGAATGCAGTGCCCTATTCACAGATCTCTCCATTCGCGGGGATCATGGGAACACAACCCCGTGAATGGCGAGGGTCACCTGTATTAGATACATTCAAGAGTTTATGATTACCTTCATGCCATTTCCCTCAAGCTCCCAGAGGGAAGCCAAAGTGACATTAGTTGCACCAGTTAATTTTTGAATTTAAGGTGTTAAGTTCCAGAATACCATAGCTTTCTCTGTAGCCATGGCTGCAAGTATATGAAATTTACTTTCATAGTAGATTGATTACAAAGGCATCCTGTTTTTTTAACAAATATTAGATCTGCTCTTAATTATCCTTATCTCTCAGAAGGGGTTACCTATAGGGTTACCTATGCACAATCCAGCCTCACTCCTTGGTTTTATCAGCAGGTAGACTACATAATTTATTAAGCCAGCTAATATGTGCATCTTGAAGGGACCTTACCCTTCCCCTCCCTCCTGCTACCATGGGAGGACAGATCAGCAAGTGGGGAAAGCAAATCACAGATTTCCCCACGCTCCGGATGTCCCAACTCCTGCCACCTTGGGACTGGTGGCTACCAAGGACTTAGGACCCAGGCACAGGGCAGGTACAACACCATGCTAGAAAGGGAAAAGCAGAGTCCCTGAGGAAGATGTAGCTGCTTCCTAACCATCTGATTGGAGAGGGAAGAGCAAGAGCCCCAAAAGACAGCAGGTGAGAATCCCAAGAGACAAGCTGCTTCCCCAACATCAGGGAGCAACAGCAGCTGTGCTGAGGTATGGGCTGCCTATGCAGGGGGTGGACAGGGGCTGACCCAGTCCCAGGTCACCTATATAATTCTCTGGCAATGAGAAAGAAAGGGTGAAAGGCTGAAGGAGAAACAGGTGGTTCAGACCTAGCCTGTGCAAAAGCCAGGACCCCTCATCCTGCCTGTAGTTCAGTGCTGAATAGTCCCATGTTCTCAGGCCAGTCCCTGCCCACCTGTCCAGTGGGGGCAGAACAGCATTTGCATCATGTGCCAGAGCAAGCACTAGGCCCCCACGGCAGCTGTCTCACTCCTCATCCAGGAGCTGCTGGGTCACCAGGAACAGGGAGGACTAGGGCAGAGTCTGGCCTCACAGCTAGGGTTGCAGGGGCTCCACCTGCAGCCAGAGCCCATCCTCAGCACGCAGGATCAAAGCAGGCTTGCGCTGCACAGGTCTACTCTCATCCAGCCGCACGGTGAAGCGCAGCAGTGTCAGCCCCAGCACCACCTTCAGCTCTGCCAGTGCAAAGTTCTGCCCAATGCAGTTTCTGAGGGAGATGGGTAGAGAGGTCAGTAAAAGCCACCCAGAGTGTGCCCTACAGAGATAAAGCAGCAGTATCCTGGGATCAGGACAGAAAACCTAACCCTCTGATAGACACTTCAACCCCACCTACTGCAGGGACACATGCCAAGACCCTTGACAAACACAGCCCTCTGGGGACCCCTGACCAATCCCTCTCTGACTGACCCTCAGTGATACCAGTTGGCCCTCGTGCTAGCCAGACTGAGGCCCTCTCTGGGGTATCCCACAATGCTTCAGTAAAGCAAGTGAGGCCCTGAGAGCACATGGTGAGGTGGAAGGGTAGATGGCCATTTGTTCTGTGAGAGGCATGAGTCCAGGGGGCAGGTTACCTGGGCCCAGCAGAGAAGGGTACAAAAGCCAGTGGGGACCTATTCCGGGAGTTCTCCAGGTCGAAGCGGTGCGGGTTGTAGACCTGGGCAGCAAGCACAGGACATGTAGGTGGATGGTGGGTGAGTTCCCATTGGGACCATGTGCCAGCAGCAAAGAGAGTCCTGCTTCCATGCAACATGCGGGCACTTTGCCTGTCCCAGCACTCTCAGCCCTCCCCCACAGCATCACAGACCCACAGGCTGTTCATGCCGGAGAGTAGGCCCTGATAAAGATACAGATGTCTTTGGGAAGGATTGCAGCAGCTGCCTTAGACTGGCAGGGTGTGAAGGAGAAGACATCCAGATGACATCACCAAAAAGGAATAGAATTACTGGGATTGGAAGGTAGCCCTTAACCAGATCCTTGTGCTCTAGGTTTTCAAAGACTGCAGGGATCAGCCCCTTAGGTAGGTGACTTACAGGAGCACAGCACTCCCTACTGCTGCCCTAGCATCAGCACTGCCTACTAGGGGGAGTGCCTCCCGAGCCTTCTACCCTGCTCCCTGTGGGGAACAGGAGGGAGGTCAGGAGGACCCACCCATCCAGGGCCCAACAGCTACCCCTAGTTCTTGACTCGGGCGCTGGAGTCCAGAACTGACTGAGTGCAGTGGAACAAGAGACCCAAGAATCTGCTTGAGTGATGGCCATACCTCAGGTTCAGGCCAGACGGTTGGATTGTGATGGGTCCCAAAGATGCTTATCAGGCAGATGTTCCCTGCAGAGAGGATATGGCCAGCTTAGAGGAGGGGAAGAGACTGGGTCTCAATTTTCAGGTCCTAACTTGAGGGAGGTTTGGGGCCTTTGAAGAAGCTGGGCATTTCTGCTACAGCAAGCTAACAGCTAAAAATGCTGCTGTGCACTCCCCAGTCAATTGCAATAGCACTGGCCTGCCTGGACAAGTCACCCCTCCCAGCAATGGTGCCAGGCTGTCTCCCAACTCAGGTACGTGTCAGCACAGCTCCTCCTAGGGGTGTCAGTCAGCAGCCACTTGCTATCCATTGGAGCCCAGCTCTGCCATGCCCACCTGGGCCCTGGCACCTTTAGGGATGATGCGTCCATCCGGCAGTTTGATGTCCTCAGTGCAGCGTCGGGATATGATGGTAACAGGTGGATGCAGGCGCAGACTCTCTTTGATGCACATGGTGGTGAAGGGCATCTGGGATAGGTCCTCCCTACAGGGAGAAAAGCATCACCAGCAGCAAGGGTGCTACTGGGCTGGGTACCAGCATGGGGGACTTCATTTACTGAGAGAGCAGGCACTTAATGCCATTTGCAGTGGGCAGATCCAGGGAGCGCTAAGAAATGGTCTGACTATATAAGGCTGAATGGAGGAGATCTTGAGCATTGTGCGCAGAGAGGGAGACAGAGTTGGGGCAGCACAGCAACACAGTTAGAATGAACAAGTGACCAGCCCCTCCTCAGCACTAGCAGAGGGCAATGCCCTGCAGACCTGGGGAGGCTATCTCACCATTCAAGCTCCTCCAATGGTTTGTCCTTCACTAGCTCCTGGATCTCCTCCCGGCATTGCTGTTGGTACTCGGGGTGATGTGCCAGGTTATACAGCACCCAGGACAGGCCACTGGCTGTGGTGTCATGGCCTAGGGAGAGGGGCACAGGCAGAGTGAGCGGCCTGGGGCTCTAGACAAGGGCAGGGGAGTGGGAGGTGTGATGGGGCCATGGCAGCAAAAGTCCCATCTCAGTCCCAGCCAGACCTCTGTTGCCATTGTGCCACTGCCACAGGGGTACATGCCCCATTCCCCAGGCCTGTCCAATAGCTCCAGGCCCCTGCATGGAACCCAGTGGGAAGTATCTTCCATCCCAGCAACACAAACCAAACCCCAGTGTTGTGGAGGAACCTACTCTACTCCACCCCACAAAGAGGAAATACAGGTCCACACAGCCAAGGATCACCCCTCCCCAGGGTGTTATAAGGTCTATGGGGGGTCATCTCTCCCTCCCCTTGGAGCAAGGGAGTCAGTGAGGCTCCTGCCTGCCCAGCCCCCAATGGGGTACCTCCTCACCTTCAAACATGAAGGTGTCAGCCTCTGCCATGATGTCCTCATCTGACAGCTCCTGGCCATCCTCATCCTGCAACAGATTCCATGTGTGTGTTGGGGTAGGTGACCTGGCTCCTTTGTGGGCCACAGCCCTAACTGCACTCTCCACAGGGTGCCAGGGAAACCTAAAACATGCCAGAGCCTGCAGAGCTGCAGATGGGGGCTTGAGTCCTGCTGTGATAGACATTCACAGTACCCTTCCATCCAGGACACCATAGGTGGCATGGGCCATCCCTGGCACAGTACCTTGGCCAACAGGAGAACATCAATGAAGTCCACAGTCTTGCCCTGCTTGGCCTGGAGCCAGGCCTCCCTGCCCATGCAGCTCAGGGCCAGGCGGCGCTGTTGCACCACATCAGCTGTAAAGCGGTGCACAGTGTCACATGCCCGGTGGAAGCGACGCCCTTCTGCCGTGAGATAGTAGATCCAGTCAATGTGGTGCAGAAGGCGGTGCTGGCGCCTCACCACGAGGTTGCTGAGCTCCAGGATGGCTGCAATGTAGTCACTGGGCTTCCTGGAAGGCAACGTAGGGGCACATGATTGAGTGTTCAAAGAAGGGAATACATGTCCCAGACAGACTCGGCCCTATGTAACAAGAGGGAAGGTGACCAGGCAGTTCAAAGGATGAGTCTCCAAGATACAGTCACCTCGCAACCTCACAGCTAGAACCTGGCCACAGGGTCTGTGATTGGGCTGGAGGGTGGGAACATGCTTAGGTTCATTTGGCTGTATGCAACATCTACCCTTCTATTCAACCACGTGCTTTGTGGGATCTGAGAAAGGGTTGGTAGCAGGGAAGGAAAATGGGCACAGGTACATCAGGCTGGGAACAGAATGGTGGCACTGGGTCAAAAGGATGAATATCTGGGCAGAGTAGCAAAGGAGGGGATCTCTTAGGTGATTGTGATGGGAAAGGCCCTGCAACCCATTTTCTGGGCTGTGACCCCTGCTTTTTTGAGCAACTCCAGTAAGAGGAATCCTGTACCCAAGTCCCTTCCTTCACTTTGCAGAGCTATCCTGGGGCTGTGGGGAAGCCACAGCCATAGCTTTCACTTACTCCTGGCAGTTGCTGCTGTGGCTGAAGACACATTTCTGCAGGCTGTCCAGAGTCATGAGGCTGATCTGCTCAAACATGTCCAGGGAGGGGGAGCCCAATGACACCAGGCGCTGCCATTTGGCCTGTGGGAGAATGGTGTCCTTGAGTGCAGTGCCTGGCAGCCACCCACAGGGGTATCTAAGAGACAGGCTCCGATGGGGCAGAGAGGCAAGGCCCCAGTTGTGGGGACTTCACTGTGTGAGCTATAGGGGGAGGTGCAGTGCTGGGGTAGCAGGCAAAAAAGCAGCATATGCACTTGTTAGGGGCAGAGAGGGCACCATAAACAGATTGGAGAGCAGGGGAGGGTGCTTCTATAGCTAAGGTGCAGTGGATTCCAGGTGCAGAAGCAGGTGGGCAGCAGGACAAGGTGCTGGCACAGCAATGGTGCAGCAAGGTCCAGGTGCAGGGGTGGGGCACTCACGTGCATGATGTTAGTGCTCTGGTTGAAGATCTTCACGTAGGGCTTCAGGATGTCGAAGTGAAAGGCTGGCGTCAGCATGCGCCGGTGCTGCCCCCACCTCTGCCCATTGCTCAGTAGCAAACCCTCCCCTGCAATGACAATGCTCAGCTCGCAGCCCAGATAGATGCCTCCCAGACCCTGCATCCTAACCCAGAGCAGCCCAGAAGCACAGGTGGTCACCCTCCTGGTATGTCTGTGGTTGTGGGTATGGGACTGTGGTTGTGGGTATGGGACTCAATGCTCAGACATGCCTGTGTGCATACATCTATGTGCATGTGGGTGTGTGCGCGCAACATGGCACCCACCTAAAATGCCATTTGGTGTCCTGGACAGTTCTCATGCCCCAGCCCAGGCCATCCTGTCCCAAAAGCCCCCAGCAGTCAGTAGCATGGCCCCGACACTGAGCATAGTGGAACAGGGGAAGCCCAGGGCAAAGCTCACTTACCCAGCCAGGGCTTCAGGAACCCATAGAATAGGTAGTCCTTGGGGGCAACAGCAACTGGGAAGGAGAGTGGGGTGTGACATGGGGTTCACACTCAGACACACAGGGCATGGAGGGTAGGGACAGGCAAGGCTCAAGTTAGCCCTGGAATGCTCATCAGCTCATCAGGGGCCTAGTTAGAGGTTGCGCAAAAACAGCAGCTGGCACTGCTGCTGTCTAGGGTGCAGACACTAGTAGCTGTTCTCTGGGTGGCACAAACCAGGGCATCAGGGAGACCTAATGTACCCAGGGCAGCTACTACCTAGAGGGGCAATACAGGTTTGGTCTCTCTTGCCTGCAACAAGCAGAGATGGGGAGGGGCCCAGGACCTGGCAGTCACCCAGGGCAAACTGGTGCAAACCCCAGAGTGAAACGAGGGATCTGAGCAAGGGCCAGTGAGATGAAGCCCAGTTGATAAGAATGGAATTAATGAGGAGAGACCAAGTTGGGGCAACCAAGTGCAACCATCAGGCAGAAAGGCTACAGCCTAGCATGATACAGAGCAAGGGCAGAGCCATCCCACCACAGAGCCTGGACTGGCGGTTTAGGAAGGGGCCTGTGCCAGCGGAGACAAGAATGTGGTAGCATTGACAGTTATATGTTCCCCCCACGTCCTCCTCTCCCCATCTCTCACACCTCTGCCTGTAGAGCAGGGATAGAAGCCTGTCCTGGGTCACTGCTCAGCAGGCCTCTAGTGGCAAGTCACAGCTGTACAGGTGGGAAACAGTCAGAGAAGGTTTTTAGCCTTAAGGTGTGGCTAATCCAAACTACAAGATAGCACTAAGCCAATAAACTTTTGTGTGTCTCACAGTATAAGGTGTAAAAAGGCCCTCACTGCAAGTTTGGGAGGCTCACAGCATTCAGGACATTCATAGCAGAGCATGGCTGGAGACCTGGGGAGCAGGTTACTGGAGCCAGCCCATCTCTCCCCTTCCCAG